TGTTGTAGTTCATTTACGCACTAGAGCTGCACAATGGGCTATTGGCGACGGACTGCGAAACATCCTTGAGGATGATCTGAAGACATGCCATCACTATTTATTTTAATCCCCTGCAGAGGGGATGGCACCCCCGCTTCGGTAGCCCGACGACCTGCATGCGAAGTCGAGCACTTTACGGTAGAGCAGTTTAACGAGGACCCATACCGCACACCGTTGGTCCCTATGCAGACTTATCCTAGTGGTCACCCACCCGCACACTGACCGCAGCCAATGATGCTTGACTTCGGTGATCTGCTGGGAACCGCGTCTTAACAATCAGTTCACTGCGGTATTTGCTTTTATTCATAAGTATATTATGATCATCAGGTATTTATTAAAATTACATACATTTTACTGGCTTGTGTGCTCAGTTTAGTTTATAATCTATAAACCTTTATCAAGTACAAGAACAGATAGAACAATTCAGAGAAGGTCATCACGAAGATCCAGGGTAAAGGCGGGATTCGAATCTGCCACCTCCACGCTTCGCACAGCGTTTGGAGGGCGATACCGCTCAACTATGGAGAGATTAGACATAAAATATAAAACAATGGCTTTAAAATTTCTAAAAAGTAACAAAGAACTCGAAAATTGAAGCAATGGCTCAGGAGATAGATCGTTCGCCTTCCTTAAAGGTTACCAAAGTTCGAGTACCTACGACGATTGGTCCATACGAGTTCTACTCCCTGGTTGCACCTAACACAACGCTGGCATAAAATATCCTCAGTGGTAGATGGATCATGGGTTCACATCCTTTTACAATCGGATCGTGGGAGGTTTTAGTGGTTTTCCTCTCGTGTTCTCCACCTAATTGAATACCGGATAATCGAATAACCCATTTAAACAAAATTTAAAGCAACCAAATTAGTTTATATGAAACCAACGTTAAATTTATTCGTTTAAGCGATTATTTATAACTATCAGTCTCGCGTAATTAAATGAGAAAAAATGCAGGTAAACTTTTTTTTAAGAAAATGTTTCACCAGCTAGAATGGAAATTGCGTTTTGCAAGTAAGAGAAGACGATGTGCGGTCCCCTCAATAGGGACTTCCTAATCCAAATAAGTCAAAGGGTTGTTTAAATTTTTTAAATCCTGTTAACAGTTATATAGCATGCAAGGAGCAGTGGTGGTTTAGGAGACAGAACGTTAAACTCCCAACGGAAGTGGACCAGGTTCGAATCTCAGCGGTCGGTTAAAGATTGATGCGAATTCTGCTCCCGGCTCTCGCCGACCACTGTGCTGACGTACAAATATCCTCAATGGTAGACGAGTTAAAGTCCCCTTGCCGTCAGACTAACCGTGGGAGGCTTTCGTGGTTGTCTTCTCCATGTAACACTGGTTAGTTCCATCAGAAAGTCTTCCATGAAAGCTAGTTTGCCCAATGCTCAACCCAGGAGTTCCCTTGTCTTCTGAATTTGGTTCAAAATTCAGGGTATATGCTACATATTAGATTTTCAAAATCATGACTATTTCCATGATTAATTCCAAGAATTTTTCATGACTTAACGAAGCTACTATTTTCACTGACAAAAACACAACAATAAATTTAAAAAAGCATTATAATAACATTCATAGAAATGATGGGTAAAACCAAAACTGTTATACTCTGCATCTTCATATTTATAGATTTTAAATTTAAAAAACAGAGTAAAGAAAGAGTTGAAGCAATAAAATAGCTGGCTGAAAAAAATACAAAAGCAAATAATTTTGTCTTCTTTTTTCTGCAGAATTACATTCTAAAGATACTTTTCTTGTTCATCTGAAAGAAAAGCAATACTCCTGATTTTTCTGCTATCATTTTGGAATAAAAAAATTCGCCAATGACTGACTTGCTTCAGCTAGAATTTTAAATTGATAAAATAAAAAAAAATAAATAGTAACAAAAATTCTGAAATTACAGAAGTTTAAAAGATAATTTGCTCTAGAAATGCTTTTTCTTTCATTTTTTGAAAGAACACCATAATTTTTAAAGAACACGATAAAAACATTTCATATTTTAATCAAATATTTGTTACAAATTCAGATATTTTGTTACCAATTCAGATATTCGGAACACCGTGAAATTAGGGCAGAGGGGTAAATTCCATTTTAAAAATTAGATTTTTCGGCAACCTAAATTCATGACTTTTCATGATTTTTTTTTAAAAATAGTTAAAATCATGACATTTCATGACAAATTTTGTTCATCACTGAAATTCATGATTTTTCATGACTTTCCAGGTACGCGGATACCCTGAAAATTACAGGTAATAGTAAACTCAAAATTGAGTCAGCTATTAAACGCCGGTTATAAAATAAAATTATTAAAAAATTTAATTAAAGGAATTATGTACCAATTGCAAAAATGGATATGAAGCAAAAAAAGGATGACTTCATTTGAAGTATTGGGAAATTTTGATTTAAACACTCTTTGTTCATTTTCAATACAAACAATAAATTTTCGACGTTTCTAACGGATTGCACTTCACTTACGAGTGAAAGTTCCTTATTGTTTAAAAAAGATTAGAAACTTTCCTCCAGTATCGGCACTGATTGTTGTTTTATTTACAGAACGCAAGTTGAAAGTATATAGAACTCGTAAAATAAGTTTAAAAAATATATATATAATTTTAAAGAGAAGAAAAATTATTATTAAATTAATTTTTAAGAAATATTTTAAAAAGCTGGAAAACAAAATAAGGAAAAGATATCTCGTCATCAGCTCACCCGATTAAATCCGCAAAAAAGAGAGCTTTCTAATATTGTATTAAAATAGCCAAAGCAAAATATATCAATACCATTGTTCTTTTCCATTGGCTATATTAATACATTAAAAAGCACTCTTTTTTGTGGATATATTCATGTGAGCTGCTAACAAGAATAAATCTTTTCCTTATTCTGTTTTCCGGGTTTTTAATTTCTTGTTTTAATTTTTTAAATGTAAAACCATTTTTTAAAAACTATTTTATTTATATTTTTTTCTTCTCTTTCAAATTATATATTTTTTCCATGTTTTTTTTTTTAATATTTTACACACACACAGATATATATATATATATANTATATATATACGGTCGTTTGGTCCCTTGAAATAACTACAATATGTTTTTAATGTCGGCAAGGGAATTTGCCAGTTTAAAATACGATCTAAACGAGCATTAATGAGAAATAAGAACGGCGAACTGTGGTCCGCCTTTTTTTATACCTTACAATATCGTTTATACCTTACCTAGAGAGCTCAATGTTTACTTTACTTTTTGCACATTTTATACCCATGCACATTTTATAAAAACTTTTATACCTATGAACTCCACATTCAACAAAAATCCAATATGTTAACATCCCATTCATTAAGTTCCATTTTCATAATAATTATTTAAAATTCTTGCAATCTAAATAGCCCTCAGTGAGTTGCCCTTACACGTTCACTGCTTCACGTTGATCTCAATTTATGAATGACAAGAAACGTTATTGAATTCTGACAAGCATTAAGATTGATCGGGGCATTTAAAAATCAGTTTATTTGAAAATGAAGATGCAAGGCAGAAAACGACTAACACATTTTAGTCCCTCTAAACAAATAAACTAGCTTATGATGATTTTTTAAAGATTTCTTTTTCCATTACTTAAATACAATGGAACCAGTCTAAAGTGACCCCTTTCCAGACCAGTTGAAATGGCCACTATATAGAAATGCTCTCTATATAAAGTCTTTTTAACAATGGTTAGTACATATTATGTCCATCGGTAAATATACATACAGAAAAATTTACAATTTCAATTAAAAATTATAATAACTTATTTATTAATTTAAAATGTATGCAACATAGAAAAAGTTAACTTAAAACTTACCTTTTTTCTTTTTTAATTCAAATAAAGAATTTCCCTATTGATTGCAACTATTTTCTCTACTTTGAAGATTCCAAATCGATCATAAAAAGGTACGTTTATTCCAAGAAAATGCATTGCGTTTGATTTCATAACTTAAAACAGCATCCTTAATTAATTAGTATATTTAAGGTTAAGGCCTCAAACCATTAAGATTGAATCCTATTACATGAAAATCAAATAATTTTGATCCAAAGTTATTAATGGTCACATTTTTTTGTGCATGCATCGTACAAACAATGAAATTAACAAAGATAATCATTTTGGTACTTTTTAGTTTTGAAATATACATCTGTTAACTACACTATTAGTATTTTTCTTACACTATGTCCAACTATGTAGTTTGAAGGGAAAAAAAAAATCTGCAATAAACAACTACTTCTTTTAAGAAAATGTAGTGACTACTAACCACTTATAGTAGCGGAATTTTGATGGAGGATTCTTCATTGAAATGATATGCACATATTCTTTTAATTTTGATTATATCGATACAATATGTCATCCAAAGTGATAAATTAGAGATTATTTATAATACTTATACAAAATATTTATAAGTACCTATTATATATAATTATACATAATAGTTAAATTGAGGCCCAATCACAACTAATTAAGATCTTCATATGCAATAATTCCCATTCTAAAAAAACTCAGCTCCATATAACATTGTCATTACGTCTGCTGGTGGCCTTGTGTGAAATTTGCACCAATCAAAGTCAAAAAATTAGTTACAGTTGAATATTGTTTCGTTACTAAACTAACATTAAAAGCAGTTGCCAGTAATCATTACAAGCTGCAAGCTGGTGTTTTTTGTAGTGCGTTATACTACAAGCAACAATTAAAGAAGCAGATACAGTAATTTTGTTACATGTAGTCAGTTAATTCCAACCACTTCCATTGTAAATAGGTTACATTTTGTTGTTGGAAGGTTAAAAATGTATCTGAAAGTACAAATTTGAAGAAGAAAAAAATATAACACATTATAAAATTACAATGCCTTTTTAAGTTTAAAAAAAATTCTACGACACAAAACTAAAATAACAATAATAAGTCCCAAACAGATATTTCATACTAAAAATGACATAGTCCAAAAAAGGATTCAACAATAAATGATTTATGAAAATAACTGAGAGGAAATAACAAAACATTCAATAAAATTAAAACATTTTTTTACATATAAATTTTATTAGTGTCATACAGTTTGGATCAAACGTACAAAAATTAAAGTGTCTCGCAAATTAAAATTGGCCAGCCAAATGTCTGTTATCAAATATTTATATTTCATATAAAATGTGATTGCATGCAAGTTTAGAATGATTACTTTATAGAATCATTTTAATGTAAAGATGACATAGTGAAAATATTTCTGGCACAAAGTTATTTTGTACTTGTGTTGCAAAATTATTAACTTTCTCCAAAACTTTTCAGAGTCAACCTGAAAGAAAATTTTTAAAAATATATGAGAGAGATCCAACAATTAAATTTATTTAATTAATCAATATCTCAGCTACAGTAAAAATGCCTTAAATAGATTAGTTCATTTTTTCTAATCAATGATTTTGTGTTGCATTTGGTCTATGTTGTTTAAAAATTGCATCTAACAAATTATTAACAATAATTAGATAAAAAGTTTCATTTATAATTTTAAAAAAACTTAAGAACATAATAATAATTTTAAGTTAAATCTTACTCACCATTAAATTAATTACATGCAATGATTTTTTTTTTAATATAAATATACTTACAACAAATTGCTCAATCTAAACTTTTAGGAGCAGATTTTAAAACAAAAATCATTTTAATGTATAAAACGTTTAAAAAAAGCATGCAGTAGATAAATTTGAAACCTTTTAAATTTTTCCAGTATAGTGTGTTTTAAAAATAAAAAAAAAATAAAAATCCAAACACAGAGGTACAAACTTATACAAAATTACAAATTTATATTAATACACTGAGAATTCCCTGACTCTAATGTTGACGTTTCATTCTTATTTTAATTTTTTTTTAAGTCAAATTCTGATGCTGACCAAAAAATTAAGTCTAGGCTCTTAAAACAAAACTTTTCAAGAAGTAATATAGAGTAAAGTTTATAAAATAGAAAAATACTTAAAAAACTAAAAAAAAGTTGTGAAGGACTTCTTTATGATATTTATTTTCAACAACAATGACTTTTCTTTTAACTAAAAGTGTTGTAGCATACTAACTTCCTTTAAAAATTTCTCTCAAAACTCTTCTCAAAATTAATTTACAACAGTAACAAATAAAAATTAATTATGTATTTAATAAAAAGATCATTAAATAAAAGAATATAAAAACTTATCTAATTTAAAGATTAGGTAGCTGAACCCACCTTTTATTTATTATTTTTTGGTTTCATGAGATCAGTAAATTGTCAGAAATGCTGCCTTTTAGCAAGACATTTCTTTAACACACGATTTGTCACATTACTTTACATTTATTAAAAACTTTAATTTCTATAAACAGTTATTACTATTTTTAACACATTAAAAATACTTTCACAAAGAATATTTCAATTACCTTGCTTCATCTATTTGACTTTGTAAGCGATCCTTCATGGATACATTTTTGGCATTCTTTTTAGACTCTTCGAAATCTAAAATTTTATTTTTATATCCTGGTATGTTATTAAATATCCTAATATGCCTTCCAACTGCTACTAACAAATGCTGGCCATCCGGAGGTGAAAATAGTAGAGATCTTATAAGATCTATTCAGGGAAAGAAAAGATATTTTAAAATTGCTGCAAACTATGATAAACAAAAACTTCATTTAACTGTACACATATTTATATTGTAAAATATATTTGAAGAAACAAATAATAGAAAATAAAACTTTCAAAAACAATTTTTAAAAAAAATTCTGGTAATTTCATTTAAAGTTCTGTAAAATTTCACAGCTGCCAACTTGTTAAGACTGGGTGGCCACAAACATTCAGAAAAAAACTCCAAGACTTATGCAGACTGATTTTATCATATTTCCCTAACTTTTGTAACAGGTGGCACAGATTTTATATCATGCCATATACAGAGATGCCAACTTGCTCCGGACAGCAAATATATATTTTAAAGTGGTAGTTTATCAATTGTGATTCTTGGTTTAATAAATTCAATTTAGTAGATTTTTACTCACCATTATTTCTAAATAATTCGTAGGCTTATATAATTCACCACTTTATAGTACTTATGTCATGCTATACCTCTTAAAAAGCAAGCAAAAATAGTCAAATATTTGCAAAATTTACTTTGTAGTTATTTACCGTTTTTTTTTTTTTTTTTTTTTTTTTTTTTTTTTTTTTTAAACATTATTTTGACTTGTCCGGAGCAGTTGGCATCTCTGCATATAGATTTTTTCAACATAATACATAATCAAAACACTAATTTGAGCCATTAGAGAAAATTTATTTTTTAAGATTTTTTTAGGAAAGACTTTCTTTTAATTATTACTAGACCAATGTTTTTTTTTTTTTTTTTTTTTTGTATGNTTTTGATTTTTTTTTTTTTTTTTTTTTTTTTTGGAAATATATGGAAAAAATATAAAATATAATTATTTAAGAGTTTTTAGGTACCCTAAACATAAAATAATTATATCATTGTACTCAACATTTAGTTCAATTTTCTGATTGATAAAATTTCTAGACTTTTTCCTGTTCTCCCTGATTTCTCCCTGATAGAACTATAAGAAAAAGTACACAAAAATACTTTTATTATGTATACATAATAGCCCAATAAAAAAAATAAGTTTCCGAATCAGCAGAAAAAAAATTTTCTTTAGTAAAAAAATAATAGTGATTTCTCTGTACAAGTAATGAGAGGAGCATTGATGCTTGTGCATTGATTTCAACTTGGATAGGTGGAGTTGCTCACTTTAAAAATGAAACAGAGTTTTATTTATTTATTTTTTTAAAGATTTCAAAAATTTTCGGCGTTAGACAAAGATATTAACAATTTATAAAAATTAATTAATGTAAGATTACCTCTTAAAAACAGCTATAAATTTTTTAAAAAAAGAGAATGGTTATTTTTCAAACAAAAAAATTTATTTTTTCATTAAAATAAAATGGACAACAAAACATGATATTCAAGAGTTATATACTCCATATGGTATTACCGAATTTAAAAATAAATAAAAATATCTCACAGCATGGTAGAAAAAAAGCATAATCACACTTTTTATGGAACTGATATTTAGACGTGAAACAGTTCCTTATTATTGTTCCCAAATAGGTATTTACAGGTTTCTGGAATTAATTGGATTACATTAAAAATAAATATCCTGTAGAATGGTAAAAAAAGAATAGTTGTACTTTTTTTTTTAAATTGACATTTTTACATGAAACAGTTCATTTACAGGTATTAACACTTTATCACCCATATGGAAGATGGTGTTTTATAGTAAAAATTGTAGTGTTGCTACAACTCTCTTATTACAGCCTGACTTTTACTGACACATTACTTACTATTTTTACATTTATTTTCTTAGACTGTACTGCTAGATATATAAAAACCTAGTTGTATAGTTTCCTTTTTATAGGTATCAGCCTGCCTATTTCTGCCCTGACTGTCTGAGATAACCTCTTTGTTAATAAAATAAGCAGTACCGGTCTGCCAAATTTTGGGTAAGGACATTGAACCTAAGAGGAGGAAAAAAACAGCGGAGAGGATCTGAGGGCTAAGACCTAGAGAGAGCTGAGATGAATTTTATTGAAAAGAAGCTGTTTTGATACAAATTCTGAAGAAAATATACATCAACCCTGAAACTATTGCTGCAGCAGGACTGAATAAGCGATATATATATATATACTCAGAAGACCTGATATCTATTAATAACCTGATATCTACAAATGATTTCTTAGCTCCACAAGTGAAGTCAAGCACATGTGAAAGATAAGTTACTATAATTCAATTGACTCTAATTCTAGCAGTGCATTCCTTTTCTTTAAGTGAACACTCTAAATTTGCATGTCACATATTGATTTATTTTTGTTAAACTTGTTATGCCTTATTATGCCACATGGTCAATTGATTGTAATGAGTGTATCATGATAGATAGGTTAATTAACATTAAAATTACAACATTAACATAAAAAGAAAATTTTCTCCCTTGTGATCCTTATTTCTGGGCATATTTTTTTATCTTGCTGTATTTTTACGTGTTGGTGACGATTTGGGATAGGCCATAGTTGTTGAATACATTAGTACTTAAGTGTAGCCATGTTTAACTTGCTACCACATTCACATCAAAAATTTCAATAAACAATTATTCCACTATACTTTACCCGAATTGTCACCACAAAATTGCTCTTCAAGAAATTTTGAAAATTTCATTTTGAAATGTGACAAATTGCACCAAGTTTTTCAAATGCATCTTAGCACACAAACAATCGCTATATTATAACACATATAAATCAAAATAAAAATGCAAAAATTCAGAATAAACAATGCAATTTCATATAATTAAAAATCTTGCCTGGATGAATATCTTTAAGCTCAGCTTGAAGTTCTCCAGTAACACCAGAATATATAAGAACATCAGATGATGTAATTGAGGCAAGGGCAATTGTTCTTCCGTCAGGGGAAAGGGCAATAACACATTTTGAATTTATTCCATGCTGGCAAGTTTTTAATAGGTATGGCTCTTGACCTTTGCTGTATTCAACTATAAAACATTGATATGCCACATTTAATATAACTCAGAGACATTGGAATCAAATTGAAATTATTACATCCAAGATTAAATTTTAAAGAGAAATGTACATAAAACAATAAATAGCAAAATACAATGAAATCTAATAAAACTCATCCAAATAGTGGCAATGATTTCTGAAAATTTATACATAATTTAAGAAAGTCATGAAATTAATTATTATATTAATCTTCTAACACCTCTTTTTTTTTTTTTTTTTTTTTTTTTTTTTTTTTTTTTTTTTTTTTTTTTTTTTTAAGTTGCAGATATTTTGATATCCAAATGCATTTTTTAAGACAATTGAAATATGCTGATTTAAAATACATGTCTTTTATCTGGATCAGATGTACTTCTGCAACCATTTATAGTTCATTAAAATTGTTTACCATTATATTAGTACTTATGAACATAATAGATAAAAATTTAGAGAGTTTAAGTCACATGACAAATATACAGAGTTGACATTTTGTTTAGAAGAAACCTATTTCTTCCAAGACAGGAAAAATGGAAAAAAAACAAAGAAAAAAAAGAAACTAGGCAAAATGTGAGAAACTAAAAATGACCAACTGCAATGAATTGTATCATAATAGCCTAAATTTAAACTAATTCATTTTAATATCAAACTAGAGAGCATTTTCACATCAATTCTATTTCAAAAAATAACTATTTTCTCAGTTTTTTTTAAATTTAATGCAGACTTTTAAAACCTAAATATTACATTATTTAAGAGTTAGTTTAAGTATTCGTACTTAGCAGACTTTTTATTATTTAACAGCATGTTTATTACTTAACAGAATTTAGTCTTTAATTATAATAATTAGTAAGCTATTTTGCAACGGAGAATTAGTAGCGTGTATTGTGATTAATAGTATGTATATTTAGTAAAATATGCATATCAATAAAATTTTGTAATAATACTTTAACAGTTTTTTTTTTTTTTTACATTGTTACAAAATTACGATTTACTATAATCATTTATGTAAAAAAATGAAGAGCTACAGTTATTTTAAATACTAAAAAAATTCATTAAAGGTGTTGCCTTTTATTTTTCACTTTTAAAAATGACATTTTAACTAACTCAAAGATTAATGTTAAATATTAAATCTCGATTGCAATTGTACACTGTTTAAAAAAAAAAATACTTTAATGTTTGATATATTTGTTTGAAAAAGAGTTTCTCCCACACAGGTTGAAAGAAACCTCTTTTCTAACTGGAAGGTTCTTACCACGGTTTTTTTATTACTGTGGATATAAGTAGATTCTGCACTTATATTACATAAAAAAATATCTAGTTTAAGATATAACAAACATAAAATCTATACACACTGAAAATAGGTAGAGGGCAGTGTTGACATTATACCTGAAGCAGAAGTTAAAATTATGTTACATAACTTGATAATAGAAAATTAAATTGAGTTCAATTTATCAATGGTTTTAGACTTTAAAATACAGTGACACAATAAAAAAATATAAGTATATTTAGAGACTATTATTAGAGTCACTTATATATTTAGAGACACTAAAAAAAATTGTTTATATGTATATATAGAGAGAAATGGACTAGTGTTTTGAAAATTTGGATGAATTTAAATTATTCAGAATAAAAGGCTTTTTCTTTTTATAATAATTTAAAATGTTTCAAAAATATGAAAGCAGAATAACTTTACTTTAAACAGACTGTTTAAATTGACAGTGTTCATTACTTTTTATTTTTAATATAATTGTACAAAATATATTGCATAAAAGAAAGCTAAAAAAAGATTAAAAATTAATTTTAATTTTCTTAAAAAGATTAAAAATATAATTTATAATAAAAGTAAATACATAAGTTGCTCAGAGGCACGTGGATCAAGAAGAAAAAAGTTACACAAAAAAAATAATTATCTATACAGATAATTTTGAGTTTAAAAAAAAAAAACAGTAGACTAATAAAGAATAAATATATATACTTAAAATCTAAAAAATCAACAATTTGGAATTTAATTTTTGAAACATAATTAGATCTGAGGTAACTAAATTTTTCAAAAATTAGCTGTGTGCATAACTAATTTCTAAAAAATAATTAATCGCGTAGTAACTGATTTTTGAAAATAGTGAAGTGTGTTGTAACTGATGTTTGAAAACTGTTTTGTGAGTTAGTTATCATTAATTTATTTAGTTTTGAAATATTAGAGATAAGACTCAAGATAAACTTAAACATCGCATATTTAAAAAAGTTGTATTTTAAAAATTCAATTTCTCAGAAAACTATTCAAAAAATTTCATTCAAATTTTGTACTTTGGCATGCAAAATTACATTCTGTAAAATTATGCCAAAAATTCTATGCATTACAATTCAAAAAATTTTTTCCACTAGTATTAAATAAAATAAAAAATAATAAATATTTATTAAAAGTTATATTTTTATGGAATTAACTTTAGAGAAACGAATTTTAAAATTGTGTGCAAATGCTCAAATCAATTTGCTTAAAAATATCTCGAATTATGGTAAAATAAGCAAAAAATAAAATTAGGGGTCCAAACTCTTCACTGCTCTTTTAAGCAAACTATTTGAACAGTACTTTCAAGATTGTGGCTATCTCCCATATTGAGTCAGAAATTCGAATCTGTCGGAAAAAAGGTGTATTTATTCTGAGAAAGTATGTTTCATAACTTAAAATATCGCTTGCACTAATTAATTATCATATTTGAGGTGAATCATTAAAATTGAGCACTAGAAAACATGAAGATCCGATCATTAAATCAAAAGTTATTCAGGTAATTCATTTTTTGTTTTGCCCACTATACCATTAAAAAAATTACTGACAAATGCAGTTTATGATGCTGGTAAAAAGTATCCTTCATTACGTCTAAAAAAATTATGTATCTTAACTTACTATTAGTATCCCACAATTTCCAAGTTCCATCTTTAGAAGTTGTAACCATTCTATAAAATAAAAACTTAAATTTAAAATCAAGGGAAAAAATTTTCAAAACTATCGAATTGTATCATTAAAAATATTATGTTCCATTAAAAAAAATATAACAATATGATGAGAATACAACAATGTTATCATCTATCAGTATTATCATCCATCAGTTATCAGTATTATAGGGTAATTTAAATAAATCTAATACACACTTTTAAAAAATAAATGCTCTAATTGTTAAGTTAAATTTAAATTATAACCAAATAGTTAACAAGCCAGTATTGTTTCTAAAATAAATATTAAAAATTATGCTATCTTTTATAATTTGATAATTAAAAATTTTTCATTAGAATCTTATTTTAGGAATCTGCTCTACAATACTCTGGTAATCATGTTGCAAAAATTCAGTTTAAGGATAAAAGAATCCTATGCTACTTAGTATACATAGATTTTGATTATAGACAATGTCAAAATACAAAGCAGCTGCAGCATTGGAAAGAATATGTTGAAAAACATAGTTTCTAACAAAACATAATTAAAGTTAGGACAGTCTTATCTACTGCTACTCTATTTTAATTTCTGCAACTTTTCTATAACTTCTGATTACAGAAAACATTTTAGATCATTACTTTATATAGAACAATCGATTACAAATCGATTTTAATAAATGTTCTGTGTGATGTCATTCTCTTTTTTTCAGATAAATTTACACTTTCGAGAGAGAAAAATATGGGATTTCTGGGAAAAATATGAGAATTTTCAAAAAAAAAAGTCTATTTAATTTAATATTTATGGTTTAACATAAATAGCATTACTAGAAATACTTTATAATTCATCTCCAATAGTAAATTCTTTCAAGCGCAATGCTTCTCAAAAAAAAAAATGAGGTACATATCGAATTTAAGAGTTAACACACTCTACCCGAAGATGCAACTCCTTGAAACTACAAGAGTGAACATTTTTCTCATTATATTAGTTAAATATGACATATGATGTGGTTACAACAGTAACAGCAGTAACAAAAGCTAGATTTAATGAACACTGGAATCTTTTTGTTTAAATCTTCATAATCCAATAAAAATTTAAAACACTGTAAGGTAAGATTGAAATCTATCCTGTGGATAAATGAGTGATATCTATCATGACACCTTAGCTTTTGCTCTAGGGATATTTCTGAAATGATATGTGTTCATGTCAACTATCATCGCCAAGGCAGTAAAGGGCTTTTGAACTTACAAAAAAATTTTCATAAAACATGTTGTTTGCCGGAAACAACTATCAGGGTTCCTACACTATTTTGAGAAAACAATATCCTGACTTTTGCAAGTTTTTCCTGACCTTTTACAATAAAATTCTTGATCTGCGGTTTCCCACTCTAACAAAACTTTTAACATTGCAGTTTCAATTAGTAATAATACGCTACTTAGTCATAAGTATCATAGATTGAATAGGATAAACACTTATATATTAAAGTGGAATTGCGTAATAGCACTTCATATCACAAATTATAATTTCAGAAAACTTGTGAAACATATTTTTAATTATCATGATTAGATTAAACTTTTAGTCTGTTTTTGTAGTTAGATTTGAAAACTATTTAAATAAAAAGATCAAGAAAATCTGCTGGATTATGGAAAGATTATTTTATTTAATGTTAAGTGGAACCAAATGCATGAGTGTCGTCAGGATATAAAGGATTAATCAAATCTGCGAGATATGTATCAGTATCCTCAAATAATATTTACTCTTAAAACATACTAGAACATTTGTTACATTAAAATATTAATTTTTAAAAATCACAATTTCACTTAAAACTGACTTTTCTATTAAAAGATAATATTGAAATATAAAGGGGAAAAAAGTCAAGAAAAGTTAATTACATACAAAAAAATTCAGATAGAAAAATTATGCAACAATAAAATCAAAAATATCTGGGTTTTCTAGAAATTTCAGCTTTTTTATTCTTTTGTTTTTCTTTTTTTTTGAGGGGGTGGCTTCTAATGAATGTCTCCATCTTGTTCTAGATCCTTTTACAGCATCTATCATTTTTTCATAAATGTCTATGTTTTTTATTCCATTTATAAATGAAACATAACCATACACACGCCTTTGTGAAATAATAGAGTCTTCATTGAGGTTTTCGACCAATAAGCCTTTATTGATTTGAAAAACCCCCTTCGACTGTTGCGTTACCATGAGAGAGGATAAGAAAAAATTTTATAACCCCCCACAAATTTTCAAATTTTTTTTCTCCGTGCAAATATTTCGAAAAAAAATTATCTAATCTCTTTTGCTGTGGATTAAACTCGAAGAAACTCTCTTGCTCTTCTTTTTTTTTTTTGGCAGCATGACAAAACAGTAAAAATTCCTTTTTTGATTTTTCTGCTGTAGTTTCAGCTACTATTGTCTGTAAACCAGTTACTTACACAAAGAGCAATAAACCTAGCAACCCTATCAAAAATTCCTTATCATTGGATAAACAGGAGAAAAATTGCTAACAGGACAGGTTCTACCAGGGAAAGACGAATGTTATTATGAGAAATTACATATTTTGAATTACGGAATTTTTCCTTGAAACTTTTTTGCCTGTCAGTCTTTGAATGAACTATAGTTTTTTTTTTTATTTTCCTAACTTTATGAATATGTAAGAAAAATCCAGACTTTTTCCTGACTTTATGAATATGTAAGAAAAATCCTGACTTTTTAGCTTAATTTTAGAATAGCCTGACTTTTGCAGGTTTTGCAAGTTTTCCTGACCGTGTAGGAACCCTGACTATGAGCTATACCTTTCGAGTTAGTCCCCCTCTGAGCAATTGTGCTTTTTTTTTGTTTTTCAAGTTTCTTATGGAACACTGCCTAGTTATTGGTATCTTTTTTTTTTCTTTTTAAACTTTTAATTTAGTGTCATTGTTGGAATATGTACTGATACAGAAATCTTAGGAATACAGAAATAAATTTAAGTATTCTAAACTCAAGCTCTAATTGCTGTAAAAAATTTTGAAGTAAAAGATTTCACATAGAGCTAAAAAAAAAATTTTATAAATATATTTGAAGATAAAAGATTTTTGATTAAAGAAAAAGTAATACAAATCACTAAAACAAATTTTAAAAAAATAAACATTTTCACCTTGATGAATCATTTGAAAAACAGAAATGAAAAACTCCTGATGTGTGACCTTTTAACTCAAATGCACGTTTAACCTCTTTAAATTCTCCAGTTTTTGAAAAGCTCACTTCCCAGACTCTAACATCAGGAGTAAAACCTATAAAATACAAAAATTTGAAAATAAATTTTCAAATTTTGAAGCATAACACACAAAACAAAATATGACAGGCACAAAAAAAAATTACATTGTTAGATGCATCTTTGAAAACTATTTACTTATCACACACATTTAGCTATACTGCATATAAATTAAGAAAAAAAATTCAATTCAAAACAAAATTTTAAAAAAGAAAATTATAATTGATAGTGAACACTTGACTGTCGTACATAAAAAACATTTTTTCAAGAAATTTTGTGATTGATTATAGTGAACTTATAGATGGGACTACAGGCAGTTAGCAGAGATCGGCTATATTACTGTTCCATAAAAGAACATAAATTTTAAAAAAAGAACTAATCTAAAGAAGAAATACATCTCTAATTAGAATTCTAAAGCATTGAAGAAAAAAATACTAATTAAAATGTAATTAAATCATAAAAGAAAATACCAGAAGAAGCAACAAATCTTCCACACGGTGAAACGCAAGCATAATAATTACTGATGTGTAATGTATCAACAGTAGCAAGTATTTGACCTGTAATAGAGGTAAAATTAATTATATCATTATAAAAAAAATTTAGATACATACGTAAATTTTTAAAATAAATATTCTTAAATTTTCACATTACAAACATTCCTAAAATTAACAATAATTGTTTCAAAATATATTTTTTATTTTGTAGTTTAAATAAAAAATAATTAAGTCACGTATGTTATGTTGAAATTATGTTGCATAACTATAAAAAAAATATTATAAGTTGGAATAACACTGTTCTTCTTTAGAAGAATCAGTACAAATATAAATTTGTTCATGAACTCAACGCAGTCTAAAAGACTATTTATTGCAAAAGTAAGAAATAATTTAGCATAAATACAGCAAAACTTGCATTAAATAATACCATAAAAAATAAGTACTGTAAGCTTCAAACTATACAGTCTTATGTGAAGGAAATAAATATAGATGGGATAATAAAAAAGGCAAATAAATTAGAGTTCCACATCCTGATCTTTTACCATGTAATGTAATTAAGGTACATGTTGCCCTAGGTGAGATAAATTAATGCAAACTAATTAATGCAAAAAACATTAATAAAGAAAAAATAAATTTTTTACTAATCAGACATGCCACAGCAGTTCAGGAAAAATCAGAACTTATCAGATAGTAACAAAATTTCAGATAAAGATTTTCGAAATAACAAATAAAATTATTTAGAATAATTACAATTTGAAGGAAATATTATATAGGTACAAAAATTAGGGTTTTTTTATAAACACTTTGCGTTTATCCCTTTCAAATTATAAGATTCTTATGCCAGTTGTTTCAAAATGCCATTATTTACTACAATCTCAATTGAAATTATTTATTACTAAGAGTCAATATTTTTTTGAAAATCAGAATTAGGTTTAATTTCTTTAATTAAAGTGTTTCACTAATTTTTAATTCATCAAAACATTTTTTTTTTTTAAATTTATTTGTGCATGACCCTACAGTTTACATTTTTCAAAATTTCTGCATAAATTGAATTGTTAATTGAAATAAACTGAATAAAGAAAACAATTCATATATTTTAAAACCTTCCTCATACAAGATTTTATTTCATCTTCGAAAAATAGAAAATACAACAAGCAATTCACCATAATGAAATTTAATAATTAGAAAGCTTTACTTTTTTATTTTATTTATGTTTATCTATAGCATTATTCATGAGTCACCAAAATTATGAAACATATTGTTTAGAATAAATGAGATACATCAATCACTTTTGTGTGATTTGTGAATGGTTTCCTAGTTCAACATATCAAATTTATACAATCTCAAAATAGTAACATTTATGATGGAAATCAGATGAAAAAGGTGGAATTCTATGGATTTACGGAAAAGTGGCACATCTGATTAATAACAACACAAATGTAAAAATTAATCACTAGAAAAAGTCAAACTATACAATTTTAATCAACAGCTCTTCCCCCCCTCCCAAAACAAGTCTTTATTAACGACCAGTTTCTAATTCCTAAATTTTTACTTCGCCAGATAATTGCAAGCCACACAGGCAGGAGCCTACTGTAATTTTTTTTTCCAAATTTCTAAAGATGTATGACTCTTTTTCTTTAAAAAATAATTCTTAATTTTCAGAAGATATCCGCCCTTTAGACTTAATGGAAGAATTACTAATTTTTCAAACCCCCGCATAAAGACAAAATTAAAGGTAATGGCAAGTGGCCAGTTTTAAACGAGTAAAAATAAACTGTTGATGATAATAATGCAAGGCCTGTCTTTTGAAGCATTTCTCAAAACATGGTAAGCATTACAAAGTTCATTTTTAATGTGAAGAAAAATTCTGAGAAACAAGCGTGAAATAGTGAGTTTCAGAGTATAATAAAATATTCATAATAATTTTATATTTATTAAAAAAATTATTATAATATTAAAATATTAAAATACACATAGTGTAAATTTTGATGGAAAAATGGCAATGGAGTTGCAAATAGCAGACTTTTTAATTGCTATAATTTATATTTACTTGCTCTATGATCAATGACAATTATTAATTTTGCCCTATATCTCTACAACCAAAGCAATTTTATTTTTAGCTACTTTTTAGAAAACATACTAAAATCAGTCAATAGCAGTCTTTTAATAAATGTTTATACAAAAGTAGACACAAGCTTATAAATAACTACATATCAACATATAATAAGTTTGTTATCAAATGATAACTTTCATTACCTTTTAAGTCCCAAATATTAATTGTAGTATCACTGGAACAACTCATTATAAAATGACCATTACAAGCAATGCCTATATTGATAATGTCAACCTTATGTGCAGTTGGGAATGTTAAAATCAATTCAAAATTGCCAAGTGTGCCATCACTCTTTTTTCCCCCTTTATAAACTTGAACAGTATTGGCAGTTGCAACAGATGCAACAAAAGCTTTGGAATCAGGGCTCCACTTGATGCGAGTTGCATAGTCAAATTCAATGTTGGCTCGAACAGATCTGAAATAATTACACAATTTTAATAAAAGCAACAATTTAACTTTAAAAGAATTTCAGGGCTCTCAGTAAATTTAGACCAAAATACTAGGTAGTTAGGGACCTTAATAATTAACAAATTAGGGATTTTTTAAGGGACCAGAAAAACACAAGCATTCAAAAAAAAAAAAATATGTTAAATAACAGATAAAATAAACACCTATCTTGTTTAATTAGAAAAAAATATTTTCTGAAAGTTTAGTTTCTTTAAGAATGAGAATAAATTTAATAAAAAACTATGCCTTTTAGTACAGCCATGTACACCTTCATCAGTAGAATAAAATGATAAGAACAGCTAACAGAGACTATGCACTTTGACAGAATGCCTCAACTACAGTTAAAAAAGTGAAAACTTTTAAAAATGACAGTTAAGAAGCTAAAAATTAGTAATTTTTAAATATTTGATAAATGTGGTGCAGCTATGAGATCAATAAGTATTAAATTTTTGTTTTTGATGATATGAATTAGAAATTTGGGTCAAAATATAAAATACATTTGCGAATAATCAATGATGCTGAAAAATTGAATCTATGGGGATCAGTCCAACAGTGTTCGGCAAGAGATGTGCATTTTAACCTATGATTTCCAATATAATTTTGGTGTTCTTTTAGTGCATATTTAGTACACAGATTAGTTAGCTTAAATTTGAGTGCACATTTAGTATATACAATGTAGGAAAGGCCACATTCTAATGAAATTTATGAATGCCTCAATCGTTTAAAAAGTTTATAGATTACTTTAAATTTGTAAATGTAATTTGTTGGCTTGCACAAAGATTTCTTGGAATTCGCATCTTGTAAAAACTTTTGATATTTAAAAACTGATTCTTGGAAAAACTCAAAGCTTAACAGATTTAACAGGTTCAGATTTGGCCCATTGAACTCATTCAGACACCTTGTTAACTATTAAATGAAATAATCTTGGGAGAAATTTATTTCATACTTATTGCAATTCATTTCATACTTCAATAGACCGACAACTAATCTTCCGTTCATCTAACTGTAATACCGTTTTGATGGCGACTTAGAAAATTATTACAATAGCATTCTTCTTGTGACACGTTGTACTCACTTTGATTGTATTTTGTAAAATATCTAGAGTATTGTAGGTCATGGTTAAAGAGCTAAATGTTTTCCATACACCATATTTTTTAAAAAGTACCTAACATTTTTATGATAAAAGAAGAAAGGATCTATGGAAAAAAAAATTCACTTTATAAGCAATTTGAGCATTCTATAAAAAGTATAATGAAGGAGCTAGGTTTGGTATTTTTTAGTATTGAGGAGAATATCAGGAAAAACACAAATAAACAAATTACATGTAATAAAAATTTAATAATGTTTTATAAAGCTTCCACAAAATTATCAAATAAAATTTTTTTAATATTTTAGAAAATATAGTTATCATGCAAAGCCTAATTATCAAAGAGATAATCAAGTCATTAAATGTGAGAGTTGAAAAAAAACATGTTTTCATTCTTTTTTTTCTTTTTTTTACAGAAACAAAATTTAATTTTAGTCAGTTTATAAAAATCAAATTTCTGTTTGTAAGCAAATTATATCTGTGACACTCTATAAGAAGAAGAATAGGTATAATTTTAAAAAGACAAAAAAAAAAAGGGAAAAAAAACTTTTCTAAAAAGTAAATAAATACATTCATACCTATGATTTTTCTCAGTAAAAGTTTTCACAGTCCATAACATCACAGCTCGATCTACAATAATAGTTATTTAGCATTCTAGTTCAAATAAAATTATATCTTTAATATACAAAAACTAATTTAATCATCATGTCTAACAGACACAATTCAAATTACTTTAATGTTGTTCATAGATGAAGTTTTAAACTTAGTTCATTCATGATAGGAAAAAAAATATATTATCTGCAGTATTTTTTCTATTAGAACACACAGAAATTAACACATTAAGATGACTTAAAATAATGTATATAAACATATTAAGTATAAAGAGCAAAAACTACCTAAACTATTGAAAACTATCTTTGGTTAACTAATTTTACAAATATGAACAAAAATTTTCCAATTCTCTTGAAAAGTTTTTAAGACATGGTAAAACAAGTAAAAAGCAAATTTAACATTAAGAGACATTGCAGAGCATACAAAGTACTAACATTACTTTGCATGCTATTAAAACACAAAGATTAAAACTATCATATCAAAACAGGAATATTTTAAGAAAGTTTAGGTCGGATCCAGAAAAATCTTTTTTTTTCTCAAAGCATTTGGATTTAACAATAACAGGTTAAATAAATAATTCCAAGAAACTGAAGCCGTAAAATATTACTTGATAAAAAACTTCATTAGCTCCAAAAATATACAAATTGGAAATAACAATTGACGAGTTTCAACTGTTATTTCCAATACTCTACTGTTTTAATCAAATATTAACAGGTCATTTTTAATTACATTTCATTAATTATAACATTTCATTCATTCATAATAACATTTCATTAGGTTAAATGTTTTTGACATTGTGGTTAGGACTAGTAGATAAACCAATGTATCAATAAATATCAATTTAATGCACATATCGGCAAGCCGATACAGTGACTTTAATTTTAGACGGTGCATCAGAAATTTGATTTAAACAGCCTATATAAGACAATGCTCCCGATTTAACAATACAACAATTTAACATGCAAGGATCCTCGCCTAATCTAATGCTGTCACCGCAATGATGAAGTCAATCTTGATTTCGTCTAGCTGCGAAGATGTTGCCAACGTCTAGCTAAGAAAACGATGATTGTTTCGTGATGTTGAATGACAAAGAGTGAATTGAATCAAAATTCCTGGTTTCGCACGGAGGATCACCATTGAAATATAGAACGTAATGCATAGTTTCTTTATCCGCCATTTTTGTCTTTGGGATTTTACGTTTCTTGAAGATTATTTCAGAGGGACTATTTTGCGATCTAAAACTAAACTAAACTAAACTCAGCGGCGCAACAGCCCTAGAGGGGCAAGGCCTACTGTGCCCATCTCAGTTTTCTTGACCTTGGGCTCTGGGGTGCAGAAGCAGATGTTCCGGTCAGGTGGTCAGTCGAACGCGGAACCCCCAGTGTTTAGTTCCCATGCATGCTTGGTACTCATTTATCGACCCACTGAAGGGATGAAAGGCTGAGTCAACCTTGCCCGGCCCGAGGATCGAACCAGGGACCTGCGGCACGACAGCGTGAAGCGTTACCGCTCAGCCAACGGGCGTCATTGTGCATTTTATTTCGTCAGAATTTAACTTTTCGTAATAACGTTTTTTGTTAATAATTTTTAGTATACCTACTGTTACTTTGTGATCAATGAGAAATCACTTTTATCTTAAATTTTCGTTTTTTCTTTTTAAATTTTTTTAATGCACATAAGTATAATAATTTGATAGAATTTGATTTAAACCAATAAATCTTCAATCATTTTTAATTATAAAAAATTAAAATAGATCCTATATTTATTTAATTAGACTTCATTTTTGAGAAAATTAAAACAAAGTTTTGGTTATTTAATTTTATTTTTAATTTGGCTATTACTTAAAACGATTAAATTTTTTTAATTAAATAAAAACATGAGCAATGTTTTGACGCTTTTCAACTTTTCTTTTACGTTTCTTGACGTTTCTTTACATTGATTTTACGTTTCTTGAAGAAGATTATTTCAGAGGGACTATTTTGCGATCACTGTGCATTTTATTTCGTCAGAATTTAACTTTTCGTAAATAATTTAATGTTTTTTGTTAATAATTTTTAGTATACCTACTGTTACTTTGTGATCGATGAGAAATCACTTTTATCTTAAATTTTCGTTTTTTCTTTTTCAATTTTTTTTCATGCACATAAGTATAATAATTTGATAGAATTCGATTTAAACCAATAAATCTTCAATCATTTTCAATTATAAAAAATTAAAATAGAGCCCATATTTATTTAATTAGGCTTCATTTTTGAAAAAATTAAAACAAAGTTTTAGTTATTTTATTTTATTTTTAATTTGGCTATTACTTAAAAGGACTAAATTTTTTTTAATTAAATAAAAACATAAGCAATGTTTTGATGCTTTCAATAATTTAACAATAATGCTATTAAATATAGTTTTTTGGTTGATTTTTCTTAAAATTCTTCCAATATGTGCTTAAAAGAATTTTAAGAATCATATAAATAGAAAATGTTCGATAATTTGTTAGATAGTCAGTATTGCTTTTAAACCAATAAATCTTTAGTCAATTTTATTTTCAAAAAGAAAATAATAATAAATAAATAATAAACTAACATTTATTTTTACATTTATTAAGACCATTTGACCATTAGTCTATACAACTTTATTATTTTAAATAAATAAATAAAAGAAGGCCAAACGATGGTCCAAAAGCATGTTTCTTTCAACAAATAATTTTAAAAAAATTTTATATAAGTAAACATTTCTCTAGTTAGTTCTTCATTTTTTTTTTAATTTTCTATTTTTCTTTTTTTTTTTTTTAAATTTTTAATGCTTGTATGCAAAATATTTTGTTACAATTTTATTATTATTTTTGAACCAATAAATTTTACGGTGTTTTTAATTTTAAAAAAAATAAACAAAATAAAACCTGCATTTGTTTTTACTTTAAGACATCGGTCTTAAGTCAATCCATCTTTATTATTTTAATTGAAAAAAATCAAGCAGTGCTATTGATGTTATAGAAGCATTTTTTTTAGAATTAACATTTCCTTTTGTTACAGATTTTTTTTTTTTACTGATTTAAAGATTTCTGATTAATAATTTTCAATACACATCTACATTGCAGCATAAAATTTCTTGCATCACCCAGTCTTAATTGGGGTTAGAGGCATTTATAGACCCATGTTGCATACTACTGTATATAAATTGATAAATAAATTAAATAAAAACTTTTTTAAAAAAGAACATGAATGATTTTCTACAAAGTTAGAGTAAAGAAATATTTACAAATTTACCAGTAGCACAAGATCCCAAGTACTTTCCATTCGAGCTAAAATCAAGGTCTGAAATTTCTCCACTATGTCCTTTTAAGTTAGTGAGTAACCACTTGTGAGTATAAGTATCTTTAACTTCTTTTTTCTTCAACGGTGCCAATTTTTTCTGTTTTGATGACGCTTTCTGTTCTTGCTCAACATGAGTAGCTTGTGAGTCGTTTTCTATAAAAAGATTTTCTATATAAATATTTAAAAGATAAACCATAAAAAAAAAAATTTATTATATTCGACTTTTTTCTATGTAAAAGGAAAAAGTGTAAATTAAAATTAAAAATGTAAAATATAATATTGATCGAAATATTAAAATTTTCTGCTAGCAAGTAACTTTATAATCTTTCAAAACTTACACCTGCCATACTGCTTGAAAGTGAATTATAAAAAAATTTTAAAAAACTGCATGCAAACATACTGCATGCAATCCTCAATACAAAAGTATCTGTGAAGTCTTAATTCTTTAATAACACCATTTTATTAAAAAAAAAAAACAGCTAGAACATTTTTAAATATCCCTGATATGTATGAAAAATAATAAATAAATGAGGAAGATATCAAATTATCATGGATGCAGTGGAAAGAGTATCAACAGTGCGCACTCACTAGTTTTAATTAAAATCTCATTTCTTGGTCAATTATGCAGTTTTTTTCTAATACTCTTGAATTTTTATAATAATGTTTTTTTTTTAATTTATAAGGGAAAAAATTAGTACACTTTGTATTGTGTTCAAAAATTTTGTAACACTTAATGGATTTCAAACAAATGATGAATTTTAAAAAATTTATGAATTTTTATGCCAATTGAAAAAAATTTGTTTTAATTGATGCTTCTACGCATTTTTTCTTTAATAAAAAACATAAAATTATGGAATTTTCAACATATCCTTACTAAAAATGGCCCGGGCTTTTCTGGTAGGCCGATTTCAAAGAATCCGGAAGTTTTGTGAAAATTTACTGTACTAGATCAATATATCCTTGGTGCGATCATAGGGTCAGGCAAGGTTGACTCAGCTTTTCATCCCTTTAGCGGGTCAATAAAATGAGTACCAAGCATGCTTGGGAACTAAACACTTGGGGTTCCGCGTTCGGCTGACCACCTAACCGGAAAATCTGCTCCTGCACCCCAGAGCCCAAGGTCAAGAAAACTGAGATGAGCAAAATAGGCCTTGACCCTCTATGGGCTGTCGCGCCAATGAGTTTAGATCAATAGATTTTACTTCACAGTTGCAATTTAGTAAACTTCAAGTCAAATAATTGCAATTTCACAAATCCCGCAGTTGTGTGCATAAACTAATCCTACAATCTCATAAAGGACTTAGGAATAAAAATTAAAAACGTTTCAGGAAAAACCCGATGAAACCATGGTTAGCTGGGCTTTACACAAGCTGGTAAAAACATTTAAATTTCTTATAAGGGAATAAATTTAAATCTACAATATATACTGCTATACTATATATAATATAGCAGTATATATTGTAAATTTAAATAGATTTACAATAGATTTCTAGATTTTTAATTATTTTAAAATTTCCTTTTAAGTATCATGAAAAACAAGATAAAAATAGAATTTATTGACATATAGCTCATGATTATAAATTAGTATTGTCTATACTGAATCATACAAAAAGAAAGCAGTACTTTTGTGTTCGTCATATACTTATAAGAAACTATTTATGTCAGTAAACAAATCTGTACATTTATTAAAATTGAGAAATACATTAACATCATGAAATCACAAACAAGATATCAAGGAAATTCATTGATATCAAGTTCATGATCATGAAATAAAGTTCAGTACTTCAGCATAAATTAAATTTCTTCCACATCTACAAAAATATTTATGTTATTTAATTTTCTTGCAGAAAAATTGAGGACTGCAATAACTTGAAGAATGAAGAGTATATTTCAAAAAATCGCACGATTATTATTTTGATGCAAGATGAATATCGTGCAACTTTGAATATCGTGACTTTTGAAAATCTCAAGACTTACCAGCATGATTATCTTCTTCTTCAGGATTTTCCCCTTGTTTGTCCCGATTAATGTAAAATAAATATCCAGCGAGAACAGTTAACAAGCCTAAAATAAATGGCAGTGCTTCTGCCAAATCATTATAATTCATAATTGAAAAAAACACGAGAGAAAAAAATTCAGATCTAAATTATAAATTCGAGTATTAGTAACTTATGCACAAAAACAAAAACGCCGCTGACAGGCTGCCGTGTCCAAAATGATCGAACCAAATAAACAATGAGATGAGTTGTTCTCACTGTCTTGAGGAGCTAATTTATAAAGCCTATTCTCACTATCTGCGAGCGATACGCAAATGCAAATTTTGAGATGCAATTTTCTCCGGAAATTGAAATTCACCAATGAGATTATCCACTCACGACTCATCTCAACTTAGATCTCAGTGAAACGGAAAATGAGAACCCTGATTAGTGACTCGCTAATAAAAACATGCTTTTCTGTCAAGAACGCTGGAATGAGCGTGAATCACATGCAATATGAATGATCCTTTAAACGGTCGTCTCAAATTTAATTTTCTTTTGTTGTTGTTATTGTTATTCATTTACGTCGCACTAGAGCTGCACAATGGGCTTTTGGTGACGGTCTGGAAAACATTCCTGAATGTGATCCGAAGACATGACAACACAATTTTGATCCTCTGCTGAGGGAATGGCTATCCCCGCTTTGGTAGCCTAAAGACCTGCACGTAAAGTAGAGCACTTTACGGTAAAACAGTTTAACGAGGACCAATATCGCACACCCTCGGTCCCCACGTAAACTAACCCAAGTGATCACCCACCATCACACTGACCACAGCCAGTGATGCTTGACTTCTGTGATCTTCTGGGAACCGTGTCTTAACGATCAGTCCACTGAGGGACAATTTTCCTTTCCATTAAAGCCATTTATAAAATGCATGTAGCAAAGCAGAGAAATATGATTTGATTTGATTTGATTTGTTCATTTACGTCGCACTAGAGCTGCACAATGGGCTATTGGCGACAGTCTGGGAAACATCCCTGAGGATGAACCGAAGACATGCCATCACAATTTTGATCCTCTGCAGAGGGGATGGCTATCCCCACTTCGGTAGCCCAACGACCTCTACGTGAAGTCGAGCACTTTACGGTAAAACAGTTTAACGAGGACACATACCGCACACCCTCGGTCCCTACGCAGACTAATCCAAGTGGTCACCCACCCGCACACTGACAGCAGCCAGTGATGCTTGACTTCGGTGATCTGCTGGGAATCGTGTCTTAACGATCAGTGCACTGCGAGACGCATTATTCAGATATCAGCAAGGTTCTTAGTAGAAGCAGCCAAACGACTAACACATCAAGATTACGTTACGTTAGTGATTGTAAAGCACGCATGCATAGCACTGCAGATTTACTTAGTACCACTGCTGATTTACTGACTGCTTATTTACTTAGGAATGATGGCACTGCTTGAACACATTCTTATTGGAAAAAAATTATCTTCGCATATGGATGGTTGACCGAGTAAAGTTAACCGCAGATGGTGCTAGGAGTTATAATTCGTCACAAAACTTCCGTGTTACTACTTCCATGGGATTTTTACGCCTAAACTTGAGGAAACGCACCCTCCAAGGTCATTATGTTTGTAGTGTACAATATAACGCGTTCTTCCAATCTAACTTTCAACGAAACAAACAAAAAATTAATTCGGAAGACCCAGCAAGCTTGCTTTCATGCTACCGAAAAATTAACCAACTTCGCTATTTTTCACAAATATAGCCAAATAAGGGATAACATTCAAAATATGGCTATCCTTACCCTTAATTTATGCTATGATATTAATTTTGCTTAATTGGTTTTAGGCACACGACCTGTTGGAATTTATAAATTACAGAAAACTCTTATGAATGGTAAAATTACGCATAAATTTAAACACAAATTACAATTATAAAACTGCATAGAATATTAAACCTGTTCACACATTGCCTCGTAAGCATAATATAAGCGGAGGGACACACCGGAAGTTTTCTAAATTTCTTCCGGTTTTAGGCAGCTTGTTATGGATGGGTGATCGTGTAAAGATAAGGGTGGTGGCGCTAGTAGTAAAATTGCTCTTTCAAGACTTCCGGGTTACTGCTTCCTATATATTTTTACGCCGCAGATTGAAAAAACGCGCCATCATATTATTGCATCATATCTTTTGCAGTATTTCATATGTACCGAGTTCTTTCTTTCAGCCTTTAAATTTCAGCATTATCATATTAATATTATAATCATTAGAATATTTTCTAATTAGGCTAACTGAAAAAGATATTTTTAAAGATATTTGGTCAATTATGCAGTT